AAATGTTTCATTATTATTGCCTTTAGCACAGTCCTATAATTGTGAAATAGAGACTTTAAAATCAGAGTTACAAATATTGCCTACATCATTAAAAAACTATGAAAATAAATTTACAACTAAAATAAATGATATTTTTAATTTATATGATTTTCTAAATGAGTATCAAATTGCGTTTTCAGAACTGCATAAACTTTATTTAATATCTATTACAATTCCTGTTTCCTCAGCTGGATGTGAAAGAACATTTTCTTGTCTTAAACGGGTAAAAAACTATCTCAGAAATAAATTAATGGATTCTCATATGTCAAATTTGAGTGTGATAGCCATTGAAAAATTAGAAGCCAAAAGTCTAAACATTGATGACATTATTAATGAATTTGCATCATTGCACCAAAACCGTCGAATTATTTTAATTTGACATAATTTATAGTAATACTATAAAATATAAATCATAATAAAAATTGTATAAAATGAAAAAAAAACAGTGACAAGAGTGTATAATAAACTAAAAAAGTATCTATCATATGTTTATGATTCCTAATTATGTTACCTATTCAATAAGCAGCTAAATTAAAGTATAGGCACAAGGCACATAAAAGTTAATTTTATAGTTTTTAATTTATCATAATTTATTTATATTTCTGTTTAATACAAATTATAATTATTATATAGTGTTTAAATGTGTGAATTCATTTTATATTCATCATTTCTAACAATTAGTAGATATCAATTATGTGTATACCATTTAATATAATTTTGTTTTTGACTATTTACTATGTTTGCTTGTAACGTTGTAACTAGATTTTGTAATTTTTAGTAAGTTGCTAAATGCTAAGGCAAATAAAAATTGTGTAATTTTTTTATTTAAATATAAATGTTTTAACTTAAAAACATTTTTATTTAAATATAAATGTTTTAACTTAAAAACAAATGTAATTTGTGTATTACCTATATTATAATAAAGTACCTACTCATTGTTTATGTAAGTTTGTTGAAAATGTTATCTAATGTTTAAGTGTGTAAATATTAAATAATATACCTATACCTATATGATATTTATTATCAATTAAAATGAAAACCAATAATTATATGAAAACTTAGTATATGCAACACAGTCTTTACAATAGATAGTGTGTAAGCCCCCTACCCTATACTGAGCCTATGAATGGGAAAAAGACAACGAATTGGGACTTTTTTGGCCCTACCAAATTTTCAAAGGCCACCAATGGGCCCCCCCAAGATAAAATTCCTGGCGCCGCCACTGGCTCACAGTAACTTGGGGGTCTGTCGTCGTTTCTGACAACGTCGTTGGTGATCCTTCGATACACCTGCCCGTGTACACTAAACACTCTCGGTCCGCGACCAGGCAATCTTCTCTGATTGAGGTCAGTGGAGAAGGCGGCAAACGCAAGAGTGTTGTTGTACCGTCTTATGTTTCTACGGAACTGGGTTGCTATCCGTGAGTCGTCTACCAACAAACTCTGTAGCAATTCAGGTGCTTGTTGCAACCGACGGGGTCCTTCAGGAATCATTATCTGATTGTTGTTGCAACACAATGTGAAATGACCCCTAAAAGTGCGTTTACAGTTGAAGTGACGGGCCTAACAGTGCCTGCAGACTTCATTCAACGGCCCGATGCGGAAGTGGGTGTCGAATGCTGGCTGGCCTGTCTACTCGTGGCGCATGAACTCTTGGTAGTTCAACAGCAACTTCAGGGTTGAAGTCATCGAAAATGTCCATGAACTCGAGTTCACCGGGCAGGACATCGACTATCTCGACGTATGCCGGCAAAACTTAGTAGTATATATTTGTCTGTTCTGAGCACCTTTTTTACAGGGAGATTTTATCATTTCAAGGGGGGCATTTCTACATGCTCCACCGTGTAACACATAATCTCAAAAACCTTAATGTATGTTCTGAGCACCTTTTTTACAGGGAGATTTCTACATGCTTCACCATGTAACACAACAATTTGATAAAATATATATTATTTATTAAATATTATTTTATTTACAAATACAATTATATATTAATTCTAAACAATTATTTATACAAGTTTTCTTACTTCTCTAGTAAAAGGTACATATTCTACAATACGATCATGAATTAATAAACAATAAGCAGTTACACCTGTAAGCGAATCTGAAGCTTCAATTTCCAATTGAACATCCACTGCTGAGGCTGTGGCTGAATCGTTCTGTTTCGAAGTATCGATAACTATAATTGGAGCGTTTGTCAGAAAAGTAGAAGGACTCAATATCGGATTACGAATACTTTTTTCATAGTACGATTCTTGAAACGATGTATACATATTATATAATAAGGTGAAATTATTTTTAGTAAAATCTAAATTCAAATTATCGTATGGATAAGCTATAGAGTTCAGAAATACTTTAACGTTTGTTAAATTACAATGGTCAAATATACTACAATCTTTTGTTAGCAAATTCTTACGTCCTTTTTGTAATCCAATTATGATAAATCGTGGTTTTTCTAATTTTGAAGCAGTTTTCAAATTCCATACAACTTTTTTAGTGGTTCCGAGTTCAGGATATTCAAAAGTTTCAAAAGATCTAAAAGGGATAAATAGACTTTTTTCTTTTTCTATAAGTTTCAATAATTTTAACCTTTCCTCGTCGTCAACCGTTATATGTGGAACCTTCCAGACTATTTTATTTAAGGTGACTTTACCTTCAGTGGCAGTCGCACCACTTTTAACTTGTAAAGCATTTAAATCACTATGACTTCGGGTTAATATTAATTCCAATCTAGAATTCACTAATATTCTTTTATAGTCTTCAAACAATCCTAACCAATATTTCAATGGAATGCAAGCACTAAATTCACCTTTATCATTTTCCGATTGCGTTGCGTTTTTAAAATTCCAACCAGCATTTTCATAACAATTGTAGTTATCTGGCGTACCGGATAAGTAACCTTTCAACGAGCTAGTGATTCCAAGAACACGTGTGCTATCTACTTCTATCCCATTGATTTCCAATCGTATTTGTTCGAAGAGGTAAGAGTAACCGTTATTAGATAGTTTCACTTTGGCAGCATCAGTAATTGTTCCTCCTAAAAAAATAAAGCTTTCGTGTAGATATGGATAAACATCCGTTTGCTGGATTGATATACGTATTTCATCATTATTATTAAATGATGTTGTATACGGTGCGTATGAATGATATTCAATTTTCGTAATTTTAGAATCCGTCTCGTACTGTGAAGTTATATCCAAAATATCACTTTCAGGCATTCTACTTTAATTGATAACCCAGAGCTTGTAAAATTTTTTTATTCTTCACCGTCAATTTTTTTATTTTATTTGATGTTACTGCTAGCACTTTAGTCTTATGACTAGTTGTACTGATCTGAAGTAGTGGGTTTATATTGAATTTTAATCCCATCTCAAGAGCCGTAACGTTTAATATGTAACACGATTGTCAATGCTTCACCAAAATTATCAATCGGATTATGATCTTGATCAACTAACTGAACGGTTATCGAATCAATATTTGTTTTATTCAATTTGTAATATATTAAATTTGGCGGTGCCTGAATTACTTTCGACCCTGTCTTTCCACTCGGGAAAAACTCATAAATCGAATGACTCTGAAGATGGTTGCTGAATGATCCTTGAGCTATATTACACATTACTTTTATAGAATTAATTGTGTTTAAATTTACAGCTTTTTCCGATCGAAGAATGTTGTATGGATTATATACTCGTTTTTCAAAACCGAATACAGGTGCTATACTATAAGGATATTCAAAGTGTAGTATTCCATTACATTTTATATACGATCTGAAATCATCAGGATCAACCGTAATGTCGAATGTTAAATTGGTTAAGTTTTTACTATTATAGGCAACTATTTGCTTCTTAACTCGATCCTTAATATCTTCAATTTCATAACAACCCTCTTCCAATGTAATAAAACATATCATAGGATCATTATTGTTTTCATTATCAACTACTTGTATAGAAAATTTATTATTATTTTCATTAATATTTGGGAATGAATTAAATGACTGTAAACATAACAAAGCTATTTCTGAGTCATCGTAAAGGTTTATAGGCGGAAAATAATTTACAGATAATACAGTCGAATTTCCAGTCAAACTTAATGTAATAGATTCATGCATTGTAAAAATTCAAGACATAAATGACCACAGTTAAATGTATTGAAGTCTTGATAGTTGGAATAGTTATATACTATTTTGAACTGTCTGAAATAATGTTGTAATTCAATTGGTGGAGGTAAATCACCAAAGCTATCAAAATATACAACTTTGTCCTTATTTTTATAAAACGCTACCCAATGACTTCCGTCGCCTGAAGATATATCCAAGTTTAATATACCACATTCAACCGTATGTGGTTTTTTAGGTAAGTTATCACGTGAAAAGACTCCACGGAAATGATTGATTTTCAACTTTACAACATATTTTATAATATCTTGAGACGAAAGCGGTCTGTCAGGTAGCGTAATCATCAGTTTTTTTTTAACCTATTCTTGTTTGAATTCAAACCACTACTGTTGGGACGTGGTAAGCAAGTATAAACATTTGATTATAGTAAAGAATGGTATTTTATTTATTGTGGACTGTATAACTTTATTCAACACTAGCCTGAGCTAAGACGCGATGCGCACCAGTAGTGTGCTTTCCGTGACATGGTTCGAAACTAGACTAGTCGATATATTGAAAGCGTATCGTTAACGATCGATCGCCGCGACATCTAATCGGTTCATACCGATACCAACACTATCGCACCTCGGAAACCGCACACTGACACACAACATGCCGCCCGCCTTGAAACATTGATTTCAAATGATAGACAAAAATAATTAATAAATGTTACAATTACAAAAGAAAAAAAAAAGAAATAAATGAATAAATAGATTGCGTAATAACCATTAATAATAATACAATTATATGCTGACTCTAACAAACAAAAAAAAATGAACTAAAGTAGACAAACAAATTTATATAATGATCTACTCAGTGCCGTTTTCTTTAAACGGCAATGGACACAATTGTCGAACTGCCCGTGTGAACTGTCCCGTCGTAGTTTGGACTTCAGCGACCCGCACCTCACCATCATCACCAGCAATAACCTTTGTAACTCGCGCTAAACGCCATCTTAATGGAGGGAGGTTATCTTCTCGCATTAATACCACGGTACCCACTTCCAGTTTAGGTCCCTTGGCACCAGCCCACCTCTTTCTCTCTTGTAGCTGATTCAAATACTCACGACTCCATTTCTGCCAGATAGTTCGTGAATATTGAGTCACGCGACGCCATCTCGACAAATGGCTTGTCGGTATATTTGACAAGTCGGGTTCCGGTATCGATAAAAGTGAGTCGCCTATAAGGAAATGACCTGGGGTCAAAAAGGACGTGTCGTTTGGGTCGGATGACATAGGAGTAATAGGTCGGGAATTTAGGCAAGCTTCGGCACGCGTAAGCACAGTACTAAGCTCTTCAAAACGCAAGTGAGCGTTACCTACAGTCTTCTGTAATAACTGCTTCATGGACTTGACCGCGGCTTCCCATAACCCACCGAAGTGCGGTGATCGCGGGGGAATAAAACGCCATTGAACGCCGAGGTCTGTTAACGCGTCATGTACCTTTTTTTTATTTTGTTCCGAATGAAATAGATTGCTCCATTCCTTCATTTTGCGATTTGCTCCAACAAAGTTAGTCGCGTTGTCGGTATAAATAGTAATACTTCTTCCTCGTCGGTCAAAAAAACGATTTAATGCGTTAATAAATGCTGGTGTGCTCAGATCTCCGACTAATTCCATGTGTACTGCTTTTGTTGAAAAACAAACAAAAATACATACATACGCTTTTACTAAAGGGGCATTACGCCGCACACTTGTCTTGATCATAAAAGGGCCGGCAAAATCAATACCGCAACTTGAAAAAGCGCGCGTCGGTTCTACTCGTTCCGCGGGTAGATTGCCCAAAATCGGCTGCACGACTATTGGTTTAGGAAACCACATTCAACCGTATGTGGTTTTTTAGGTAAGTTATCACGTGAAAAGACTCCACGGAAATGATTGATTTTCAACTTTACAACATATTTTATAATATCTTGAGACGAAAGCGGTCTGTCAGGTAGCGTAATCATCAGTTTTTTTTTAACCTATTCTTGTTTGAATTCAAACCACTACTGTTGGGACGTGGTAAGCAAGTATAAACATTTGATTATAGTAAAGAATGGTATTTTATTTATTGTGGACTGTATAACTTTATTCAACACTAGCCTGAGCTAAGACGCGATGCGCACCAGTAGTGTGCTTTCCGTGACATGGTTCGAAACTAGACTAGTCGATATATTGAAAGCGTATCGTTAACGATCGATCGCCGCGACATCTAATCGGTTCATACCGATACCAACACTATCGCACCTCGGAAACCGCACACTGACACACAACAACTACCTTTTTTTCTTTTTGAATTTTGAACCGCATTATACACACTAGCACCTCCAGACATCAAACTACCAAGTGCTGACAATCCTGCAAATATAGGTATTAAGGGAATTGCACCTCCTGACTGTCTCGGTGCTAAAATCGACCTTTTACCACCATTCTTTTTCTTTGAGATTCTTTTTTTCTTCGCTGCTAGTATACCATTTGTTTTTATAGCACGTTTCCGTTTACAACCCATACCTATTTTTCTTTTAGCTTTCATTGCGTTTGTTACTGCGTACGCAACTAGTTTCTCTTTTCTAGGAGTATCTTTTGCTTTAAATCTTTCCCAAGCACGATTTTCTAACACTTTATCAGCTCTATGTCTATCGTCTAAATTTTTGCTCGTTGCAAACACAATATCGTGATCACGACAAGCAGCATCCAATGGGTTTATTCCTTTATCGCCACGATCTAGTCTCTTTTTTAATTTTGTGCCAGGACCACAATACTGATATCCTGAAACATGGGCTTCGAACGGGAGACTATTTATAAGGGAGTTTACAAATCCTTTACCAGTCTTGACTGACTTACACTTGCGAGTTGAACGCGTCATCGATAACTGATTATAAATTAGAGAATTCTAGAGTATTTATAAGAAAATAATATGGATTTGATAGAACAGAAAGATAAATTGGATGTTATAAATGTAGATGTTCAGGTAGTAAGAAAACCATCAAGACACGGTTCGTTATTACCCGATACTATACGTGCTATACTAGTTGGTCCCAGCGGTTCAGGAAAAACAAATATAATGTATAATCTGATCACACATGTAAACGGGTTAAGATTTGAAAATATTTATTTATACTCGAAAACCTCTAATCAGGAAAAATATGTTTTATTAAAAAAAATAATAGATGGTATACAAGGTGCTAATTTTTTCTTATTTACAAGCGCTGATAAGGTTATAAAACCAAACTTAACCAAGAAAAATTCTATTATAATTTTTGATGATGTGATATGCGGTCCACAATCCGTAATCAGAGAATACTTTAGCATGGGTAGACATTCAGGTGCCAGCTCCGTATTTTATTTGGCACAGACATATTCTAAAATACCAAAACAGCTAATAAGAGATAACGCAAACTTTTTAATAATACTGAAACAAGATGATACAAATTTACGACATATATTCAACGATCATTCGTCTACAGATATGGATTTCTCAGAATTCCGGAAAATTTCCCATTTATGTTGGAATTACAGCGATTACGGGTTTCTGGTCATAGATAAAACTCGAGAAATGAATGAAGGAAGGTATAGATGTGGTTTTCATACATTCATTAAAATAAAATAATTTTATGTGCTTATACCTATATATAAATATACCATCACACAGTTATTATCCGCATAGTGTTATCAGTAGTCATACGATACAGGTATATTACATTTATTATTAACAATGAACAAAGAAAAAGTCTTGTTGGAAAATTTAATAACATCAAAAAAAAATATACAACGAAAAATAATGGAAATGAAACGTGGTGTTATAGATTCTGAAAACTATTTCCGTGAAGCATTTAAGCCGATAATTGAACCATTGAGTACACATGTGAAACAAAATGTAATATGTAACACACGGTCAACTGAACTAGAAAATAAATCAGAAACCTCGTGCATTAGTGAAGAAGATAATGATGATGAATTAAATTCATCATATGAAAATTTTTTAAATAACCGTCCTAAATCAACACGTTATGATAAATCTCATGGTATGCATTATGATAAAGATAGTGATTCATATAAAATAGGAAAATATTCTGTAACTTTTAGTCACGGCAAATTACTGTTGCTTAATAAATACTATCAATTTACACCAGGACTATGGTCTTTATTATGTGAGAAGGAACCAAAAAATACAACTATAGCAGATATAGAATCTTATTACAATATTTTGAAAACTAGTGGAGTCCATTTAAAACCAGATGGAAAACCTAGAACCTCGAGATACCATAAATGGGTGACTGTTGTAAAACCGCTGTATGATCGAATGAAAATGGAGGAAAAACAGTTTAACGAAGAAATAAGTAAAATTAATGAGAATACAACTCCTCGAATTAATTTAAAATCATTTGACAATCATTTATCTAGTTCAAGCGCTAAACGCAGAAAAATAACACAAGAATTTGAACCATTTGATTTTAATCCAGAAGCAAACAGTTCCATGTCTACAAATCCATTAGTTGAAAAGATGTTTAATTTTACTTCATCACCAAAGACTATGAAAGGTTCTGGTTTATATAAAGATGTCTTACCTCAAACCCAATTAGTTTATTATGACGATCCGAATGAGCTAGTAACTAGATTAAATCTTTTGACATCATCACAAAGTGTTGGTAATACTGGTGTGAATAATGAAATAATATCTATTTTAGAAGAACTACGTGAGAGAAATATTATAGTATAATGACTACCTTAGAAAGTATAGCTAATGAGTTACATCGGCCAGCGAGAAAAATATTTCCTAGACGCAGTGTAGTAACGCGGTTTATTGATGACCTCTGGCAAGCTGATTTAATGGATATGCAATCTCATTCTAAACAAAATTATGGTTTTAAGTATATTTTAGTTGTCATAGATACATATAGTAAGTACGTATGGCTTGAGGCGTTGAAAAATAAAACATCGAAAGAATGTACAAAAGGTATGTTTAATATATTGAAAAAAGCTCATCCGAAATTATTACAGACAGATAATGGTACAGAATTTTACAATGTTCAATTTCAAGATTTAATGAAAAAATACAAAATTAAACATTACAGTTCATACAGTGTTATTAAATGCGCAATCGCGGAACGCGTGATCCAGAGTCTTAAAAATAATATATATATAGATATTTTACTGCTACTGGTACATTTAATTGGTATAATACACTATCAAAAATTACACAAAATTATAATAATACAAAACATAGAACAATCAAATGTACACCGAATGAAGCTCGAATGGATACAAACAAAATTAAATTTAATACACAAATAAATGATACATTATAAAATCCAAAATTTAAAATTAATGATAAAGTAAGAATATCTAAGTATAAACATATATTTAGTAAAGGATATACACCAAATTGGACAACGGAAATATTTACAGTTTCAAAAGTTTTACAGACAAATCCAGTAACTTATCAACTAAAGGATGAATCAGACAATATAATCTTAGGTGGTTTTTATGAACAGGAAATTAAATTAACTGATTTTCCAAACACCTTTCTCATTGAACGTATTGTAAAAAAAGTTGGGAATAAAATGCTTGTTAAATGGTTAGGTTTTGATTCAAGTCAAAATTCATGGATAACATCATCAGATATTTTAAAATAATGTTTTTTATGTAAAATATTTTTTTTTTAAATAAAATAAAATATAAGTTTGTTTTTATTAAGTCGAATTAATTATTTCACATGATCTCCTGATCCTCAATTACCTGTTTTGAAAACTTAATGTATCCGCAATCAATAAAAAAACAAAAGCACCATCTAATAGCAAATTAATCAATGAAAGTAATAATACTGCAGTATTTTGTTCCGCTAGATAACGCATTTATACTGAACCATTAAGTTTGTAGTGACCATACGCCAATGTATTTATCCCATCATTCATTATATATCTTTTATCGTCATTGGCACTAAGAACAAGCTTGTTCATTGTTTTTGAATGAACAATATGTTTATTCGATTGAATGAAATTCATGTTTCTGTGAGATTGTTTTTTCTCCACAGATCTATGGTTGATAAAAGCATTTAATATATCTATGTAATCAATAAATTTCATATGGTTTTTTATTATATATTTTTTTACGCCTTTTGCTTTTTTTTCTACAGTATCATCTATGGTTTTATAAGCGTATAATTTTGGCCTCAATGAAACGAATTCTTTAAGAATTTTTGATTTAAGTTCGTCCTTGAAGAATCCTGGTTGGCTTTTATGGATTTCACTAAAGCAATAATGGTCTCTGGGATAATTAGATGTGTCGAAATATGGTAATAAATCATTTTTTAAATCATCGAAAAAATTTGCTGTTTGAATAGCATATATCAAGGAATCTGTATCCGAATATAAAGAACTAATTTTTCTACCATATTTCTTTTCATTACATTATAATGAAAATCATACATAAAAGTTTTCGAAACGTCTAAAATTACAGATCCTACATAAATCGCTTTATCGAATTTAATAGTTTCCTTATGTTGATGAATAGCCATAAGATTCCTAGAGTATATAGTTCTATCCTTAAAGTTAGTTTTTGATATTAATTTATTAGCTTTTTTTTCTGACGAAACCAGTTTTATAGAAGTTCTTGTTCGAACATTCTCCATACATTTTCCAAAAACGTTATTAATTAAAAGCTTCCAGAATTCTTTTTCAAACTCGTTTTTGGCTTTTGTTCTCATTTTAGTACAGAATACAATGTACGATGCCATCCATTTCTTTTGAGAAAAGGAGATAGCTCGATGAATTTTTACAAGTTTAAGACCGTGAGATAACGCTTGTTTTAAATTTTTATAATGAACAATATAGTTTTTTTTTCGGTAATAGTGTAGTTAACAATTTCTTAACTTTAGAATTTGGTGGACATTCGTTCAACGGTAAAAACGGGAAATCATTATGAGCCTTATGTAAATGTTTTGGGTAGTCAATATCGACTTCTAATATATATCCAACTTCAGAATCATCAGCAATTTTAGTTACGTCTATGTTTAAGTCATCAACCCATTCAAAATCTTAAAAGGTAATTCTGTCAACATAGATTTTCCATATAAATTTACACAATCAAGATATGTTAACCATGTAATCGGTTCGTTAGAATTATAATTCAATCCTTCAATATTTGGTATGTTTGCTTTAGCAAATCTTTTAGTTGATTGGGTTATCCCACCGCGAATTGAATTCTCTATAAACAAAAGCATATTAGGACATTTTAACCTTTCCAACTCGATCTTAGTATATTTAAGCATGCAATCATACGCAAATCCTGGAGCAGTCATATAATGAGCAGGATCTAACTCAAGAGTAGATAAACATAAGTCTCTGAAATTTTCAAACACGTCAGCTAGTATTACCACATCAGTTTTTAAATAAAGATCGCTATATTCACCTAATGTCTTTATGTTAAACACTTTCCATACATTTTTCGCATGTATATAATCATCATCAGTAATATTTTCATCGGATAAAGAGCTATAAAACTCAAGTTTTGAAGGTAAAAAAGTATCATCTAGTTTACACCAACTATCAACATATTCATACGGGAAGACTCCTTTTCGAGTAACTAGATCTAATACTTTAGTAGAAAATACTTTAATAGTTTCTCTAAACCTCAACTTATCTTCGGATAAATTGTTTGCTAGTTTACTTAATTTTTCAGCCATAAAACGGTATGTGTCCACAAACTTTATATTAAATTTTGGTGCGATTTCTTTACTAAATGATATATATTTTTCAGATGAATTGGGTATAACATGAATATCTTTATCGTTACACCCAAGTTCTCGAATTATGAAGTGACTGTCATATGTCAGATTATGAAAGAAGATTGGTACAAATGACGGGCTTGTTAGCTGAAAATTACATTTAACACAAATACATCGTCTGTAATTTCCCGTTATATGACAGTGATCTCGAACTTTTAACAAATTATTATCTTTAAAAGATAATAAACATTTTTCACAAACCTTAGCTTTCTGAAAATGTTTTTCTTCTTTTAAAGTTAATTTTTTAATTGGTAAATTAGTTTTATAAATATCATGTATTTTATTTCCTATACTAATCATACTATTCATAAATTTTTTTGCTGCATTTTTACCTCTATATATTACTACTGTTCTAGGAATTTCAAACTTTTTTATTAATTTTTTTGGTATAATATTATAGTCAACTTTTACATAAAACCCGTAACTCATAAGTTTATGTAAATGTGTAATATGAGTTTTTGGTTTTTTACAACTTTGAATGAATTTATCAGGCTGTTTATGGTTTAAAATACATTCGAAGTCAGCGTATATAACAATTGGGATTCGTTGAGTATTTTTATAGTTTTTGAAACGTATAAAATCGTCATCTCCTTCTTCAAACATTATAGGTCTTCCTAATTTATTTTTAATACACATTTCTTTATGTCTAATTAATCCTGTTTCACCCCAAATTTTGCTTTTGCACGGTTTATTTCCAAAACTTGTAAAACATCTCTTACATATAATCAACTTTGAACAATGTTTAGATCTTTGACTTCTAACAAACCTTGAGAAGTTGTTAATATAACAATAATGAGATGTATTATTATTATCAAATAGAAATAGGTCAAAATGATTTTTTTTTTCAATATTGGTTATATGTAATGGGTAAATTAAATTTTTATCATTTAAGCTGTAAATATTAATTGATAAATTGTTTATTTTTTCAAATTTTTTTATCTGAGTTATAGGTGTTGGAAAATCAATACATTTAAAATTAAACCCACTTTTTTTTTCTAACATATCAAAATATTTTTTGTTAAACCGAGATTTATTCAATCGATTATCGTACTTAGATAGTATTGAATATTTGAAACATTCATTATCATTATTTTTTATATTTATAACTGCTTTTTTTTTTTTATATGACTAGGTAAATCTAAATATGTGCTTCCTCCTTTAAGAGGATTAACTTTATTAACTCGTAATTGTAAACAATCTATAGATTTAAGTGACCAGCCTGATTTTTTTGATATAAATTGTGCTTCCTCAGATAATAGTTTGTTAAACATTTTGTTTAATAAACTATTAAAATTGGATGATTTAGATGCTAATACGTTTGAAGTTTTAAACGACATATCTTGTACTTCATCCGTTAATAGTTGTTCATACGTGCTATCAACATATAAATTTAATTTAATTGCTGACTGCTGGCTTGATTGTGTTAACCTAGAAATTAACATTTCAGAAACATAATTAAAAAATACATTGTAGTCTATTATTTCTTCCTTGTTCTTAACAATATACGTTCGGGAACAGCTTTTAAATCGTTCAATTTCAACAAGACCGCCCTCATCTGATTCCATCCGTCTACGTTTAGTGATTGTATTTCTTTTCATTATGTAACTGTAAATAAATTAAAATAAAATAATAATAATAATAATAATATTATTTATTAATACATTTTAGTTTTAGTCTATATTCAAAGATTATAATTCTCTGTACAGTGAATTTAAAGAATTGTCTTATAATATATTTAATAATTATTCATAAAAAATTTAACCTGATCTAAACCTTTCACGTTTGGATTCTGCTATCGTAATAAAATCTAACCTATTACCGAAACATTGTTCTCGATTGCAAAAATTTGTAACATATAAATCACTATATTTTCGACATATATCCATTTTTTTTTCTCTTAATAAAACTAATTTTATATTTAACTCTTTTATATAAGACAAATTTGGTTTAGAATTTGTTCTACTTAAATAAATAGTGAATTTGAGGTTTCTAATTTGTTTTTTAAGATCTTTATATTCGTATCTCTCTTTAATTTTATTTTCATCAATAATCTTCGTTAATGCTGCAATCTGCTCTTCATAATATTGAATTTGTTCACAACAATAATCATATGAATGCGAAAAATTCATTATCTGTAATTTTAGCTAACGACATTAGTATGAAATGTATAATTTATAAATCTAATAATTAAAACGATTATTTATTAAACAACATTGAATATACGTATATATATATATATATATATATATATATATTTATTTACAATTATAATAATTACTAATTACATATTATATAGTTTTACAGAAAACAAGAATTTTACAAGAAAAAAAACATAAAATAAATTAAAGCAATAAAAAATTAAAAAATTAAAAAATGAAAAAAAAAACAACTTAAATTAGAATTCGAACAATCGCAATATACATTTTATAAATGTAAATTATGTATAAGAAATTCTGTGCATTTACTGCACAGAGAACTAGACTCTTTGAATATAGTTTTATTCTATATTCAAAGAGTCTAGTTCTCTATGCAGTAAATGCACAGAATTTCTTATACTTGTTTTACATTTATAAAATGTATATTTCGATTGTTTGAATTCTAATTTAAGTTGGTTTTTTTCATTTTTTAATTTTTTGATTTTTTTGTTTATTTCTTTAATTTTATTTTTATGTTTTTTTTCTTCTACGTCTTCTTCATCCAATGTCTTTTCTAATAGTTCGTAACTGTCCTCAATTTTTCTTTGGATGTCATCTGATTGAGAAGCCATTTTCTTTTGTAACTGTAAATATTAATATTTATCTATCAATCAATATATTGAATAAAATAAAAAAAGTCGAGTCATAAAAATTATAAGCGATACAATATTATTTTTTCCTTTATATTATATTATATTATATTTAACTCATATTATTTGACAAGTTTTCACAACACAGTTAAAATATTAATAAAAAATATTGAGGATATAGATATGTACAAGCATATACGTTTGAAAAAAAAAATAAAAAAAATACTATATGCTTGTATTATCTATAAGTTCACCTTATTTACATCTTTACATCATAGAATTCAATGTTATAATATAATCTCATGGTTGTCACATAAACCTAATCAGTTTAATGTTATCAATATATTTCTTTTTACAAAAATATAATACATTCTTAGTTATTATGATAACAATATTGTAATAATATAAACATATAATATCTAATAAGAATTATATTAACCATTTTCTTGCATGTATAAAGAGATAATTAATTTTAATCAGTAATATAACCAATTATAATGAATAGTTGTATATAATAACATTAAAAGCCTTTACATATAATAGGGATACATGAACATGGTTAATCAAAATAATCGTTACGATTTTAATATTTACTTTTATCTTTCAACATCATTTTTAAAATATATATTAAATAACAATATAATTAATGTTTTACAGTGTATACATTTAAAAATAATTTTAATAGTTATACATTTATAGTATATAAATATAAAATGAGAAATTATCTATCAAACATCTTAGACAATTGTTTTATTGTTAGTTTTTTATTTATGAGATATATTTCTCATTCTATCTAAAACAAAAAATTCTGAATATGTTACGGGTACAGGTACGGAGTCAATACTAGTAGGGAACGGATTACTTTGTAAATCAACACCTTTGGTTAAGAACCGTCCACATAATATACATCGTGTATAATAACAATAATCTTTAAACGCTTGTATATCTTTAAATCGAACAAACTGGTATAAAGGATTGTAAGTTCGAAACGTATTACCACTAGATCTTTCATGATGATAACATGCACTGCTGCAATACTTTTGGTCCCCAACATTTTGTATACACAGTTCAACTAATGTATAATTTCCGAGTGGATCGGTTAAAATATTTAATACATGGTCCTTTACCATAAATGGATAATAATCTCCTACTAACATAAAGGTGATTTCAGGGTTAAAACGATAATATTCTAAAGATTCTAAAACACTGTTGATTGTTCTATTTCGTATATTGTTTGAATCGATTGAAAACATATTGTAATTTATAAAAAAATTCCACCCGTAAAAAAATAAAACAACATTAAATTAGATTTATAACTATTTTATGATAGCATAACTAATGTTCAACAATAAAATTTCTATTTTAATTGAATATTGTACACGTATTCGTTTGATTCGTTCCATATGTAACGTACGCATACCTACCTATAATAATTTTTTATAAAAATAATAGCTATACTAATGATATTATATACTTACATTGTTAATTTGAGAAGTTGAAATATTTGAAAAAAATTGAACTTTTTTCCGTGTATGTTTGTGTTGAGCGTTGTGAGACAATATGATATATTATAAGTTTGTGAGACTGTCAATACAATGTTTAAGATGAAAATGTTAACTCCCTGATAATATGAGTACTGTTATATACACGTTTCGTTGAAGTGGTTATTAGTTTTTTATAATAATTTATATAATACACATTATATAATATTCGCTTCGACTAAACGTCTATATTGCAGTGTTATCAATGTTTTTTTTGTTTTTTTTTTATTAAACATTAAAGACTGCGACAGCTCTGTTCATTAACGTAACAGTGATTTAAATTATTATTACTTCCTAAAAAATTATATTATCAATGTAAGGTTAATGGTTATTAGTTTTTATAATAATATATATAATACACATTATATAATATCAGCTTCGACGAAACGTTTATATAACATATGACAATATTATCAAAGACTGCGGTCAGAGTTTTATAATGCTCAATTTCAAGAATTAATAAAAAAAAAAAAATAATAAAAAAACTATATCCGTATCTTGTTATTGCAGACGCTGACCACTACTATTGCTATTTATATTATTATTACTATTGGTCTTAATATAATATAAATTGATTAGAAAATACAAATAGCAAGTCACTTTTAGAGGTAGAACTTAAATCCACTCAACGTATTTTAGCTACAAATTATCTACTGTTAAAGATATATTTTAAAAAAAATGTCATTTTCTAATTCGAACATTAGTGATTACGAAGAATCAATGACTGAAAGCGATGTAAGTACAAAATTAATATTAATTTATATTTTTATATTTTAAATTTATATTTTTATAATATAATATATTTAATAGTTATATTTGAATAATACTGTATTACACTGGTTCAGTATTATACCCATTGAATACGATGTATATATTTTTACTAGATTTTCAGTAACCAAATTGTATATAATTTCAGAACAATTATAACGAGGTAAAACCGGATACCACAAAAAAACAAAATAAAACAAAAAGAGATGTGAAATTGAAAAAAAATATGTGCAAAACAAAAGTTAAAAAAGTATGTAAAAAAAATTAAAAATTAAAAAATTTACAGTATAATAAAAAAAATTAAATAAAATTACAATTTTTATTATTATTATTAATACCTATAATTATTTTTTTTTTTAGAATATTTCATATCTGGATAGAATTGGTCCTTTAATTAAAGATGTGAAAGTAAATAATGAACTTATTAATTCGATGATGGTGAAACAAAGTGATGAAATAGTAAACATAAAATTACCATTTGATAACGAAGTATGTAGTGATTACTGGACAATAAATCACTATAAAATAAAAAATATTCAAAATCTTATTGCTACAGACAGGTAATATATATTATATAAATATATGATTCTTAGAATTTACATGAATACAACTTAAAATGACTAACTCCTAAAAAAAAAAAAAAAATTTAAGAAATTCATTGGTTGATGTATGTAATAGTTGATGTATGTAAGGTCTTATAATATATTAATGTGCCTGTATGTATGTATATATATTTGTAATGTAAAATACTTATCATTTTAATGATGTTATAGATGGAAAGAAGCTGAGTGCAGTGTAAAAGTATCGATAACTGATTTAGCAAAGGATCAAGGACTCGCAAACGATTTATCCAACATCATACAAACAATATTTACACGGTTCATGTCTAATCCAAACAAGAAAATAGGATGTATTAAAAAATCAAAATCATAATAAATCTGTTTTTAATGGCTGTTGAAAATTAAAATAAAAAAACCAATATATTAACTAATCGTACATTTATTTTTAAAAGTGATACAAAATTAGTGTATATGATTTAGTGTCATGATGTGTAAAAATAAATTACAGGTTAATAGCTGATGTACCTAATTCTAACTCTTGTAATATCATATTTGATAATGAGTTATAATGATATTGTAATAATTCATACATAAAAGAAATATCATTAGTTTCTATATTACTATAACTTAAGTTATAATTCTGAATATATGAGTTTGTAAATTCATTCCGTCGACAAGAAGAGGGTAACCCGTTAATATCTGCCATAATTAATGCATATGCTGTGTCAAAAGTCTTCTGGTAACATGGTAATTTTTTCTGCTTCTCGATTATATAGAGATCGATACAAGCTCCAAGCTGATTCAGCCTTTGCAAATCGACATGTGATAAAGTTATATAATTTTCATTAGAATATAATATGATTGAAGACTGTTTCACATTAACGGAATAGCTTAAGTTATCAGTTATTCTTACACGTTTACATCGGTTTTGTAGATTATCAATAATTGCTTTATAATTATTTTCACACATTAATGATAGCCATTGGTCTAGATCGAGGCTTAAACTCTTTTTAGTAATCATACATTTTAATATTACAACAATCGAAATCTTTTTGTTAACTAACAAACCTACTGTTACACTTTTCTTTCCATATTGACGAATTTCAAATTCTGACCTTGAGACAATCGGTGAAATCATATTGTAGCGAGCTTATAATACTTACCGATATATTTTTGTTCGTTCTGACGATTATTGTTTTAAAAAATTATACTATGATTATCAGAGTGTTAATTGTATACTGATTATATTTTATTCATACAACAACGTTTTATACTAAAAAAGTTAAATACAATTTCAAAAAAGTAAATACGTGACCTAATTGATAAGTGTGGAGGGAGGGAGCTTATTATTAATTATATATCTCGTATTATTCCTGCAAATTAAATGAAACAAACATCTGCTACCTAGATTTGAACCTTATATATTGAATTAAAAACTTCACGTCTTATCCATTAGGTCACGTATTTACAAGATATAGAATGGAATAATAACACATTTAAACTGTTTTAATAAAATACAAAATTTTATTTTAATATCGTTCATACGTTTAAGCAGTTGAGCGAGTGACATATTTAGTTTTACAATTACATTAAGTTCTTCCATATTTGGTTATTATGTTTTCTACAAAGTGGTTACCTTTCGATAAAAATACATAAATACATTTGGAATTATGTCTCGAGTGTTCGATCCATGGAATGTCATCTTTCTTCCAGTCATGTAATACAAGTCCGCAAGAGAAGCATTCCACAATATCTTGAACCCCTGTATATATAAAGCCGCATTCAGACAATACATATTTGTTTTGAGGTATAGTTGACGGAAATATATTATATGTTTTTAATCTTGATGTGAATGTATCATATTGCGGATATGTTGGATATGGTTGGTTTCGTATTAAAGAAACTAATGAAGAATAATTGCTGGTGGTTTTTTGAAAGTTCATGTTTTTTTTATTTTAAAGAAAAAACATTAAATTGGAAATTTTTACTTAAAAAATAAATGTATAAGTGAAAAAAGACAATAAAATAAAAAGCATAACTTGGTTTAACAACGGATTATTCGTTACTGAAATGTATAGCTAACTTAATTTTAGTACGAGTAACTATAAAAAGTTCAGTGTCGCCAACACTTATGAGTAATACATTGATGGTAAAAACATATTTATTTTGTTTGTGTAACAAAATGATATAGACACAGTTATGTGTTGTGTACTTGTGTTGTACACAACACATAACTTTTACTTGTGTACAATTTGTGTTACACGGTGGAGCATGTAGAAATGCCCCGCTTGAAATGATGAAATCTCCCTGTAAAAAAGGTGCTCAGAACATACATTAGGGTTTTTGAGATTATGTGTTACACGGTGGAGCATGTAGAAATGCCCCCCTTGAAATGATGAAATCTCCCTGTAAAAAAGGTGCTCAGAACAGACAAATATATACTACTTGCCTACCTACTGAGTTGAGAACTATTTATGCCTGTTTATAGCAATACGTAATCGGTACCTACTCTCTTTTCCGCGGGACTCCTCCCCGGGACTCGTTTTTGAAAAAGTAGGGGCGGGCGCCGGCTATACATTTATCGGGGAACGCGAATAAGCTAAAACTCGAATTTTCGAAAAAACGGCAAATGGAGAAGTCATATAGTCGTACTATTTTTTAATATAGTTTATCAATATTGTATTAAACAGTATTTATAATCTGTAGCAGTAATTAATCAAATCGGAATCACGTAAAAACTGTAATATATCAAGTAGGTACTACACGTAGGTTAGTTATATTGTATTTGTTCTATTGTCTATTCAAGTATAAAAGAAACATATAGGTGCGCCTAAGTAGTAAGCATAGTATAGTCATATCATTATACGATTTAACTGCCAGAACTTCAATAAATTTCATTACAATTTAATATATCAAGAAGGTACCTACTTTATTTTTTTGATCAATAAAAATATTAATATAATATAATAAGGCAGTTCATCGAATCAAAAACTCGAATTTTGAAAAATAACAACAGTTCTACAGGTTATGATACATAGTTATGGTACAATTGAAACGTTACATATCAAACATAACAATACGGTCTACTTCTACCGACAGATATTTGGACTATTATTTAAAGTTATTCATACAGACATAAAATACAGACAGACATAGACATATACATAATAGTGATAAAAGGTATGACAACTACTATTAAATAGTTATAAAGTAAAAACCATAATATAATAATAACTTATAATAACAATTGGTGGTTACTAAGTACAAAACAAAATGTAAAAAGTTACATAATAATATAAGTATTTTCAATTGATACAATCATAGCACACAATCTCAACTATAATGTATCCGTTCAGATGTAAATAGAATTGTGTTTAAAAGTTAATATTATACTAAAAGTTAATATTATAAAAAGTAAAAACAAATTAAAAAAGGTACATAATATCATAGTATGACATATTATATAATGAATAAATTAATACAATCAAATCTATATCAATTATATTAAAAGATATTTTCAAAGTTACTCATATAATTAGAAGTTAAATACTGACAAAACCTAGTATCATTTAAACAAACGTTACAAAGTGACATAATATTATTTAAACGCTTTTTGACATTACATTAAATTGACAATGTATTTTGAAGTAGGTATAAATGAATACATTGTAGATATAGCGTAAAATATGAAAAGTACAATATTATAAATATTATTTAGATTATTATAAAAAGTTATTCGTTTAGATATAAATTGCAAATTGTGTTTAAAAGTAATTGGCATAGACATAATAGTAAAATAATATTAATAACAATTGTTGGTTAGAAATTACCTAACAAAATTTAAAAGTTACATAATATTAGTTTGTTACAAAAAGTGATTCATACAGACATGAATAGCAAAGTTATAGTAGAGAGCTTATAATAACAATTTGTGGTTGAATACCAAGTATATAGTAATAATAATATTATATGCGGAGTGTTAATGATAGTGTTTAAAAGTTATTGGCATAGACATAATAGTAAAAATAGTAAAAACATATTATATCATAATAACTTATAATAACAATTGGTGGTTACTAAGTACAAAACAAAATGTAAAAAGTTACATAATAATATATGTATTTTCAATTGATACAATCATAGCACACAATCTCAAATATAATTTATCCGTTCAGATGTAAATAGGATTGTGTTTAAAAGTTAATATTATACTAAAAGTTAATATTATAAAAAGTAAAAACAAATTAAGAAAGGTACATAATATCATAGTATGACATATTATATAATGAATAATATATTAAAACAAATTAATACAATCAAATCTGTATCAATTATATTAAAAGATATTATCAAAGTTACTCATACAGACATAAATAACAAATACATTTTATATAATTAGCAGTTAAATACTAACAAAACCTAGTATCATTTAAACAAACGTTACAAAATGACATAATATTATTTAAACGCTTTTTGACATTACATTAAATTGACAATGTATTTTGAAGTAGGTATAAATGAATACATTGTAGATATAGCGTAAAATATGAAAAGTACAATATTATAAATATTATTTAGACAATTATAAAAAGTTATTCGTTCAGACATAAATTGCAAATTGTGTTTAAAAGTTATTGGCATAGACATAATAGTAAAATAATATTAATAACAATATTGTTGGTTACTAAGTACAAAACAAAATGTAAAAAGTTACATAATAATATATGTATTTTCAATTGATACAATCATAGCACACAATTGTAAATACAATCTCAACTATAATATTGAGATTATTATAAAAATTTATCCGTTCAGATGTAAACATAATTGTGTTTAAAAGTTAATGTTATACAATTAAAAAAAGGTACATAATATCATAGTATGACATATTATATAATGAAATTAATACAATCAAATCTATATCAATTATATTAAAAGATATTTTCAAAGTTACTCATACAGACATAAATAACAAATCCATTTTATATAATTAGCAGTTAAATACTAACAAAACATATAAAAAAGTAAAACCGTTACAAAGTGATATAATATTATTTAAACGCTTTTTGACATTACATTAAATTGACAATGTATTTTGAAGTAGGTATAAATGAATACATTACATTATGAAAAATACAATATTATAAATATTATTTTTAAATCCTAACAAACCGTTTGACATTAGTTACGAATACACCTTTGAGTATTCGCATCCAGAGAGACCACGTGGAGGTTGTCAAACTTTCTCTCCGCGTCACATAGACTTGAACATCAAGTGTCACGTAGACTGGATTATTGATAGTGACGCTAGACTTGATCACCTAGCGTCACCTTTACTTGTACATCGAGCATCACCTATAATTGAACATCGAG